TTTATTAACTTAAAATGAATAGATGTTACTATCGCTGCTAGTAACATTTATATAGTGCTCTGCCAATTTGAAATAGTCTCTTAATAATTTATAAAGCTTTTTAATAGAAGAAATATTGAATCATAGACCCATGGGAGTTAAGAGGAACAATAAGAAGTCATTTAATCCATCTCCTTATCTTCAAAGAGGCTGACTTATTCTATCCCAGCCAGATAAGAGTCATCTTCCTCCTCCTGACTGCCATCCAAAAAAACTTTTAAAGTGTGGATCTGTAAATGGAACTGTACTTGGCACTCTATAGGCCTTTAAAGGTTTAATACAACAACAATGTAGAGATATACCACACACAAACAAAATTCAAAGTATTGCATGCACAAACAGCTTAAAAAGAATGGATAAAGAAGATGTGGTGTATATATATACCATGGAATATTATTCAGCCATGAGAAAGGAGGCAATTCTGCCATTTGTGGCAAAATGGTAGCTAGCAGGGGCTGGGGATGAGGGAAATGGGGTGGTGGTGTTCAGGGGTACAAACTTCCAGTGATAAGATGAATAAATTCTGGGGATCTATTGTACAGCATGATGATATAGCTAATAATATTGCATTATATACTTGAGATTTGCTAAGAGAATAAACCTTAAATGTTCTCAACACAAAAAAGAAGTGGTAATTATATGAGATGATGTATAATATGGTGATAATCATTTTGCAATATATAAGTATATGAAATCAACATGTTGTACACCTTAAACTTAAACAATATTATATTTCAATTATAGCTCAATAAAACTGGGGGGAAAAAAACAAAAGAGAGAAAGAATCCTACCTATAAAATGACTTTTTTGTTCCAAATTATCTACATAAACATTTTAGCCCATGTAGATAATATAGACAGGCATAAATGTAATCATACCAAAAAAAAATTCATGTATACAAGTAAGCGAAAAGGTTTAGGGAAATAGGATGGCTCTCAGATATTTGAAGGGCTGTTGTGTAGAAGAAAGGTTAGATTTGCTCTGTGTAGCTACAGGGCACAATTAGGACCAGGGGTGAAATAGGTGAAGTTTCAGGGAGGCATGTATCAGTTTATCTTTAGGAAGAACTTTTTAACAATTAGAACGTTTCCAAATAAATGGGCTCCCTCGCTGGAGTTGTTAAAGAAAGAATTCCAGGAGATTAGTTAAGATGACCTCTAAAATTCTTTCCAACCCTATGACACTGAGCCATGTGTCAAAATTAAACACATTTGGGGGGTAATTGAATTTTATAGGCAAAGAATTGTTACCAGCTTGTGCTTGTCTTAGGTATGGACCGAATAGAGTCCAGGGAAACTGTTACATCTCTATGTATAAGTCTGAGATTTGCTTACGAAGGAGGTAGAACCTGAGTAGAATCTAAGTGCCATAAGGGGAGTCACTCAGGAACCATATTGAGGAGAATATGATTATTGCAAAAGTCATAGCTAAAAAAGAAGACATCTCAGAAAGAGGCTAATTGGATGTACCTATACCTGCCACAAAAGGGATGGTGGTGGGGGACTGAGGAACAGGAGATGGTGAACACTAGGCAATTATAATCCAGGGTATCCTGGAAAATAAGTTTGAAACATTAGATGAAAAACTTAGACATTGTACATAATGGAGGGGAGCGGAGCATGGTCAAAGCAATGAGAGGAAGAAATATTTTTGTTTTAGTAGTTGCTTGGTGCTAAAGGTTTGGAACCTGGGAGGAAAAGCCTAGTAGCAAGAGAATCCAGCTTGAGTTCAAATGAACATTGTGTCCATACAGATATAGAGAAACAAGTAGCTATGGGAGATAATGTAAAAATGTAGCAATAGCCTGGAAATGTAGGCTGGTAAAGACAGGGATCAGTGAAGCATGGCTCACACTCTCCTTGCTTCTGGAAATAGTGGTATTGCTTCTGGGGAAGATAAAAATGATGAGCATCTATGCCTTCAGTGTGCCTGTTGGTGTTGGTGCTGTCTGATTTTTCATACCAGTCCCTGGCCATCACTCAGGTGAGGCGGTCCCTTCACTATTGTGCACCATCCCTGCTACCCCTGCCCCCATCCCACCACTGGTTTCTGCCCCTGCCGAGAGCTCACAGCTGCCCTCAATTCATTTTATGTTTTGGGAATGTTTAATTGTAATTCTCAGGCAAGTCATTCTGGCTTGGTTATGTCGAGATGAAATAATTTCCAACATCTTGTTTCTCCCTGTCACACCCCTCACTCCCTTTCTGAAAGTTCCCATCTCCCTTTGAAAATGAAAGAATGGAAAAAATCTACAAGATAGCGCAAGAATCCTTTTAAAATACTTGCTTTAGCCTAGATAGGATCTTAAGAATCAATGCTAGAGGAATTTCCACATGAAAAACAAAGGTCTTATGTGATTGTTCACATATGCGGGTAGCTGGTGATAACTAGGTAGGAATGACTAATAAAGTGACATATGATTCTACATGTTTTTATTGGTTGACTGGTGTTTTTGTTTTTAGTTAAATGCAAGGTGGCAGGAGGTGGTTGGTGGTGGTTCACCTGAATAAATACTGTAGAATTTGTTCCATGATTTAAGTTTATACCACTTGTAGAAATTAGGCTTGGAAAGGCTGATGGACTTCTAAAAACATTACATGTTTTTTGATATGAGTAGTAAGCGCTGGTGTGACACATGCCCACTACTGTTTTAGGTGCTTTCTATATATTAATCGATTTCTCACAAAAGCCCTATAAGGTAGGTATTGTTGTTATTATCATCACCTCACAGACGAGGAACTGATGCACAAAAAGGTTATTTGATCAAGAACAAATAGCTAGTAAGTATAAGAGCCCACTTTTGAACTCAAGCAGTCTTCAGAGTTACTGCCCCTAAACACTGTTATACTATACTCATCTATTATGAAACATGCATCAATTACATAGCATTATATAACACTAGCAGAGAAGCCAGACTGTTATCCCCAAACTGAAATTCTCCCAGATACCAAAAATCAAAACAACAAACCAAATTTGTGCTCTATAACCACTTTTATCCCTTGTGAATGATTTTTTCCCTCCGGTAGTTGCTAACACTTTGGGAATTAAAAGGGGAAAAAGTATTTTAAACAGGAAAATTTTGATCCACATGGAAAATTTATATTTTATTTTATTTTATTTATTATTATTATTTTTTAATCCTCATCCGAGGACATTTTTCCATTTTTTTGTATACAGACAGAGTCGGAGGGAGAGAGAGGAAGAGAGAGAGAGGGAAACATCGATGTGAAAGGGACACATCGAGTGGCTGCCACCCGCACAACCAACCAGGGCCGGGGACAAACTGCAACCGAGGTACATGCCCTTAGCGGGAACCGAACCCGGGTCTCTCCGGACCGCAGGTGGACGCTCTAACCGCTGAGCCAAACCGGCCAGGGCGAAAATTTATATTTTGTTCAGTGCTAAAGCATAGTGGTTCTGTTCCCATTTTGGGGGCAATTTCAATTATTTCTGGCCACAGCCTGGATGGCAATGGAATAATTTCATTGTTCTCTTATAATAGTGAGTATCATTGTCAGTTGATGGTTCATCTAAGGTCAGGCTTGTTCTAGGAAAGATATGTAACGGACCAGCATTTACCTCTTCTGCCTAAACTATCTTCCCAGTGGTTGTTTTGTTGCTTCTTTGCCATGGCTCCCATCCTCTCTGCTTTAATTTTAAGCAAAATTTCAGTGTGGTACTTACAATAATTGATACTTTAAAAAATGTTTTTAATGATTTTTTAGAGAGAAAGAGGAATGAAGAGAGAGAGAGAGAGAGAGAGAAACATCGATATGAGAGAGAAACATCGATTGGCTGCTTCCTGCACACCCCTCACTGGGGACGAAACCCAGGCAAGTGCCCTGATGGGAATCGAGCTGGGACCTCTCAGTCCATGGGACAACACTCAATCCACTGAGCCACACCGACTGGGCATAACTAACTGATACTTTTTATAAAGGAAGCATAAAAACCGAAGGAAGATAATTACCCAATTCTTTGAAAATTTAAAAGACAGGATCAATATCAAGATGCAAGAATGTGTAATGGGGAGATAAGTGAATATTTACACATGAATATGTATGTGTGTGCGTGTACAAAAACACTTCTGCTTGAGTCACTCTCTTTAGATAAGATAAAGGTGTGTAAGTTCTGACTCAGAAACAGGATCAAAGATAGATTTTTTTCCTCTTTTGTCATCAAAAGACGTATGTCAAGAACGCCAGTGGGAAGATTGAAGATTAGCTTTACTGTCAAGCATTGTGAGGGTAAAAGAAACTCACATGTGGTTAGGTGGTAAAGAAGTCCAAGAGGAATTCCCGGTAATCCAATACGAGGAACGGGGCCACAAGTGCTTCTCCAGTCAATCTGCACAATGCAGACAACCGAGCCGAGTGCAATCTACCGTCATGAAATAATTTTTAAAAAATTACAATGAAACAATAGTGTACCTCTTTACCATCTTCACGTACATTTTGGATGATTTTGACTCTAGGTGTGCTGCTGACAAGAGTTTAAAGAGATTCTCTTGAGCACTTTAGGGAACCTCACCTGGATGGCCAGCACCACATGGCCTGTGCTTTTCTGTCCCAAGCTGTGCCCGCTAACCGGCGGCGCACCTGGGGCGCCTCGCCGGCCTGATTGATTTGACAGGTGGAGGTGGGACGGGGGCTTGACACCCACCAACCTCCAAAGGCGGTAGCGTACGGAGCGGAACGTGGGAAATCGAGGTGGGGGAAGGGGCAGAGGGGCCGAAAGACCTGACGCAGCAGGGACGTGCCTGCGAGGTGGGCACTGGGGACCCACCCCGCGAGGAGGCGGGGCGGGGCCGGGGCGGGGCGCCGGGAAGCCCTCCCTCGGAGTAGCGGAGGTGACTGGTCCGGAGGGGGGCGGGAGACGCTCTGCCCACGCTCTCCCCGTGCTCGGTGGTTTAAAGATGGCGGCGGCGGCGCTGGGGGTGCGGAGCCGCGGGAGGAGGAGGGAAAAGCAGGCTCTGTGAGTCGCCGAGAGGCAGCGCGGCGGCTGCTGTGAGAAGTGCGGGTGCGGAGCCGCCGGCGGCCCGGCTTCTCAGCGCCGGGGCCTGGACTGGCACGGAGGCCGGAGCCGCCCCAGGAGCCCGAGGCCGGAGCCGAGGAGGAATGTGACCGCGGGTCGGCGGGGGCGCGGGAGTACGCGAGCGCAGGGATGGGGCAGCAGGTGGGCCGCGTCGGGGAGGCTCCGGGGCTTCAGCAGCCGCAGCCCCGCGGGAACCGGGGCAGCAGTGCAGCCAGGCCCTCCGGCCGCAGGCGGGACCTGGCGGGGCGCGCCACAGAGGCCGGCTTCAATATCTTCACCCAGCATGGTGAGTGTGCCCGGGAGCCGGCGGACGGAGTCGGGGGGCCGGGGGTGGGGTTGGGGCGGGGTGGGCGGCGGACACGCAGCCCCAGGGGGTCGAGCGGTGGAAGGGTGCCCGAGAGTGGGGGCGGAATGTGCTGCCATCTGGGCCAGTCATGGGAGGCGAGTCACACCCCTCCCCCTCCCGTCTCCAGCCTGGCTGGCAGCTCCCGGGGGCGGAGAAGGAAAGAGAAGTGGGCTTAGGGACGGTGGATGGACTGTCCTGTACCCTGGGACCCGACTGCGCGGCTCGGGGACGGTGGATAGTATCGCCAGGGGAGGGAAGGATGAGGGGAGGTGTGGGCTCAGTCCTGGAGGTGTTAGCATGAGCCGATGTTAGCAAAGGGAACGTGAGTTGTGCTTTAAAGGGATATTGGGAAATAACAACTGAGTCGCAGGAGACAGTGGCGTGTAAAGTGTATCTGCAAGTCAGGAGATGTGCAGGGTCGGGGTGGTGAACAGTGCCTGCCCGAAATACCTTTCTCTGGGAAAGATAAGGGTAGTATCTCAGGACTCTTTGACCCCCTCCCCCCCAACTGAAAATGAAGGGCTTTGCCAAACCATACCTCTGTTCTGTTCTTTGAAGGAGAGAATTCTGAGATGGGTGGTAGGGGTTAGAGGTTGGTGGGCCTGGTTGGGACTTTGGATATGAACATGTTTTCTTCCTACTGTGTGTGCATGTACTCATACTTACCTCCTCTGTAGTCTGGAACCTATGACTTTGGTTATTAAGGTATTTTTAGAGTAGTTATTTCCAAACTCTTTTTTTTTTTTTCTTCAGTCCTCACCCGAGCATATTTTTCCATTGATTTTCAGATAGAGTAGGAAGGAGAAGGGGAAGGAGGGAGAGAGGGGATGGGGGGAGAAGAGTGAGGGGGAGAAAGAGAGAAATGTCGTTGTGAGAGACTCATTGACTAGCTGCCTCCGGTACAACCCCAACCAAGGCCAGGGATCGAACTATAACCAAGGTACATGCCCTTGACTGGAATCGAACCTGTGACTCTTTGGTCTTCGGGCTGACGCTCTAACAGCTGAGCCAAACCCGCCAGGGCTATTTCCAAACTCTTTTGATCATACACTTTTATCAGTAAAAGAGCATAAACCTCAGGAATTAATGTATGTTTTAAATTTTATACTTGTCCTACTGTGCTAATATGTTATGTAATTTATAACGTACACATAAATAGAATTTAAGAAAGCATGAAATGAAAAGTAAGTATAAGAGTTCTAATTTATATCTTTTCCTGCAGCCCAGTGGATTCTTTTGCATTTCCTCTGAGTTGCACCCACCCACACCACTTCTAAGACCGTTTTTCTAGAGGAAGGAAGAGTGGAGAAGGGGGAAAAAACAAAATTGACCTTCATGGGGTTTAGATATCCTAAGACTGAGAGAAGCTAAAGAGATATATGTGACCTCTATATAAAGGAATGGATAGTTGAGGTTGGATGAGAGGTAGCAAACTGGAATTTCACTGAAGAGGCCTATAGAATAAAAGAGACAGGTTATTCTATACTGTACTGCACAGTGTAGGGAAGAGGGGGAAGAAAAGGAAGTGTGAACTGTTCATTAGAACTGGAGTTTTGGAGGAAGTAATGCAAAGAAAGAGATGATCTGTGACTGCTAGGCGAGTTGTATTCAGAGAGCTCTAGGTTTGGACTTCAAGAAGAAGCTGAGTTTTTTTTTTTCTTTCCATTTTTTGTTCAGGTAGAGTGGGAGGGAGAGAGAGGAACAGAGAGAGAGAGAGAAACATCGATGTGAAAGGAACACATCGAGTGGCTGCCACCCGCACAACCGACCAGGGCCGGGAACAAACTGCAACCGAGGTACGGGCCCCTAGCGGGAACCGAACCCGGGTCTCTCAGGACCGCAGGCCGAGCTCTAACCGCTGAGCCAAACCGGCCAGGGCAGCTGAGTTGTTTCTTAGTGGAGGAGATACACGTGATTTGGGGCCATTCAAGAATTACATGTCTACTATTAAAGATGTGAGTGAGCTTTTCTTCTGGGTACGTGAATGAACATGTTATGAAGGTGCTATATGACTTACTCTTTATTGAAATCACTTTCTAAAACACAGGAGGGAAGAGTGAGTGAATAGTTTTCAGGGAAGAAATCCAAGTAGCTTTGTTTTGTGGAAAGTGTTGGTATGCATTAAACTTGGCTCGGTAGGCATCGGTGATCCTCTTCCTCTACTATCTTATTCAAAGATTTTCAGAGAATGAGGAAGTCATGAAGAATAAGATAGGAATAGGTTTTGAAGGACAGATAGGAATAGGATCTATGGAGCAAGAAAACTAGGGCAGGCTGTTTAGGAGAAACAACTTGAGCATGAACAATGGAAATGAATATAATTTGTTGATAGAAGACATCTGTCAGGAGTGAAACAAATACTCCAGGAATGAATAGTAGAGCAAAAATGGCAAGAATCAAGTCCTGATAATCACTTTGCCTGGCTAGGCGATTTAGTTACTTACCATTTTTGGTTTTTTAAAATTCCCACCTGAGGATATTTTTCCATTTATCTTCAGATAGAATGGGAGGGACGGAGGGAGAAAGAGAGAGGGAAACATTGATGTGAGATAGACACATCAACTGGTTGCCTCCCGCATGACCCCAACCAGGGCCAAGGATGGACTGTAATCAAGGTATTGCCCTTGACTGGACTGGAATGGAACCTGAGACTCATTGGTCTGTGGGCTGATGCTGTAACCACTGAACCAAACCGGCCAGGGTGTCTTTGTTTTTTTTCTTTATTGATTTTAGAGAGAGAGGAAGGGAGAGGGAGGGAGAGAGAGAGAGACAGACAGACAGACATCGATGAGAGAGAACATCGATTGGCCGCCTCCTGCATGCCCACCACTGAGGTTCAGGCTCACAACCTGGGCATGTGCCCTGACCGGGAATAGAGCCAGCGACCTCTTAGTGCATGGATCGACGCTCAACCACTGAGCAACACCGGCCGGGCTAACAAATTTCTTTTTTTGATATTTTGTTCAGATAGAGTAGGGCGGGGGGGGGGGAGAGAGAAACATCGACGTGAAAGGGACACATTGAGTGGCTGCCACCCTCACAGCCCAACCAGGGCCGGGGACAAACTGCAACCAAGGCATATGCCCTTAGCGGGAACCGAACCCAGGACTCTCTGGACCGCAGGTCGACGCTCCAACCGCTGAGCCAAACCGGCCAGGGCTGGGCTAACAAGTTTTTTGAGCGTCTGTTATCTACTGGGCTCTGACAATGTTGCTGTGAGTATAACAGAGTCCCTGTCCTTGTGGAACTTAAAGGACTTCATGATCTGACAGAGAGAGTGAAAGAGGAGAGATCACTTTGGAATATTATTAAGGGCATGAACTCTGGTGCCATTCTGCCTGGATTTGAAACCTGGTTCAGCTACTGCTTATCTGAGTGACCTTGGGCAAGTTATTTAACCATTTTGGCCTTAGATTCTCCATTTGTAAAATGGGCCTAATAAGAGTACATGGTAATTAAACCTAGATTTAATGAGTTAATATATGTGAGGCACTTAGACTAGTACCTGGCACATAGCTAGTATGTGTTAGCTGCTACCATTTGTACTACTACTATTAAAAATAGGCATGAGTCAAAGATTATACGGTTTTGAAATTGGTTGAGATGATGATTCTTTTGCCAGGTTTGGAAGTTAGAAGCTGATTGAAAGGGTGGGAATAGGGTAAGATTGTTGCCCAAGACTAGTATAAAAACAGAATTAGCACATAATATAGAAAGCAAAGGTGAAGTGAGTACTGGTTTTTGACCGATGAGTATTTATAAACTTTTCGATAGATCAGTTTCTCAAGCTTGGCAGCATTGACATTTTGGGGTGGATAATTCTTTGTTGTGGGGGGCTATCCTGTGCTTTATAAAATGTTTAGCAGCATCCTTGGCTTCTACTTACTAGATGCCAGTAGCATACCTTTCTGGCAACAGCCACCTGCCCCTTCCCTAATTGTGACAACCAGAAACATTTCCAGGCATTGCTAAATGTCCCCTGGGGGGCATAGTTGCTCCTACTTGAGAACCACTGCCTAGAAACATGTGGTAGATTCTGAATTGAGTGAATAAATAAATTAGATTCAAAAGCTCCTCAGTGCACCTTTCATTTGACATTTACACAAAAAATCTGGATCCAGAACTAGTGTAGAAATCGCTGTTTTGAGTTTCAGTATTGAGGTATTTGCACATAGTTTTATGCATGAAAGTTAGGTCTAACAAGCTGTTGAGTTTACATGTAAGTTTAAAGTACATAAAATATTGTATGTAGTTAATCAGTAAAAATGTACGTGTTACAGAAATAGTTTATCAGAGTCCATGATTTCTCTTCTGTAAAAGGAAATGGTATTTTCTTATTGAAAATGAGAATGGTATTTTTTATTGTTAATATATGGTAAGTTGTTATAATAATTTGCCTTGCTAAAAGTGATTTTTGTGCATGTCATTTAGAAAGAATAAAATAATAGGGCTGTTGGCCAGCTGGTGTGGCTCAGTGGTTGAGCATTGACATATGCACCAAGATGTTGCTGGTTCGATTCCCGGTTAGGGCACATGCCCAGGTTGTGGGTCAAATCCCTAGTAGGGGGCATGCAGGAGGTAGCCAATTGTTGTTCTCTCTCATCGATGTTTCCATCTCTCCCTCTCGCTCAAAAATGAAAATAAATAAATAAATAAATAATAGGTCTGTCTTTGGTATGAAAGCTATTAGTACTGTGTGACTTTCCTGAATTCTGTTATTGAACCTTTTTGGTGAGGTGATATTTTGTAACAAGTAAGTAAGCTAGGGTTAAATACTTTTCTTTTTTAATATTTGACATACCTCACAACAGTTGAATGATTTCACTTCAACTTTACTTCCTTCTCTCATTCATTTGCTGAAAATACTATTAAAAGTTAACCTTAAGTAATGGCCACTTTGGCTCAGCGACCAATGAGTAGTGGGTTCGATTCCAGACAAG